CTCTTGTGGATTCCTTTTGAAGAAGCTTAGCTAAATTATAATAAATCTCCAATGGTGTTGCAAGTGCCATCAACAACAGTGTAGAAAACCTTGATTCTTTTTTTCTTTCTAATTTGTGGTTTTGAGAAATACCTTTTTTATTGTGATATTAAATTTAGGGATTTGTTAATGTATAACCTAACATACACATACTCACTAGTGGTTGAAATGAGTTCATCTTGCCTTTCATTTCAAGAACCCAAAGAGGAAAAAATTGAAGAAAAATAAAGGCAGCCAAGCATGGATTTCATCAATCAAGTAATGAAACTTTGTTAAATGGGCAATCACAAAAAGAGGAGAGGAAGAAAAAAATATGAAAAGACAAAAATAGAAGCATCAAAATTAGAATAAATGACATCAAAGCATGACAAGACAGCATATCAAGCTGTAATGCAGAAGAAGGATTTTGCAGATTTCAACCAGGCAAAAAAAGTTGCACCCCTCAACTTTCTGTTTATGTTCTCCATAAAACAGGCAAGTTGAAGTGAAATTACTGAAGATATAGAATGGAAAGTTCCTTTTTTACTCAGATTGTGGGGGACATAAAAAGGTCAGGTCATTGAATAATTTTATTCTTGAGCAGTTGCTGTTTCAAATTGCTAATGCTGCTTTATTTTACTATTTGAGTCCCACTGTTTTGTGACATTGCTTCAGTATTTACTGTGACTATATAATAAAAAAAATTGTGCTGTGACAATCACTGATCATCACCAGTGGAAGTGTGTGAAAGCACTTTGAAGACAGTTTGATTGTGAATTCCTGGTTTTGGTTTTTTATGTCAAAAGCATATCCACTTCTCAATGAATTTCATTTGAAAGCAATGGATATATATATATATATATATATTTTTTTTTTTTTTCCACAGCCCTAGTAATCAGTTTTTTTTTACCGTTTGAACAACCCATTTGACCATCAGTTTTTTACTAAAAAAAGTTGTGACAAAAAATAAAAAAGACCGGTGTTGAAACTAATCGATTCTGCATCCAACACGCGTATCGAATTTGATACAAATTACTAGTGTTAGTTACAATCAAGCGAACACTTTATAGTTTTCATAAGTCAAAACGAACCTGTTCACGACTCGTGTGCTGTTGACTTTGTGTTGCTTCAAATATTGGTCACCTGAGAAGACAAAACAGAACGCAGAACATACACAAAAACAACACACGCACAAAGATTCAAGAATATATTTTATTCTCTGGTGCCATTTTCTACCCCTCCTTTTGGGCAGTATAGTATATAAAATACAACAGCAAAAGAAAAACATGTTTAGACTTTCAAGTCATATTCTTTACCAAATCTCTTGCACCTTTTGTTCCTCGTTCGAAATTCATGGCTGCCGGGCTTAAAGGGATTCGCTTGAATAAAGAAATTCCACAAAAAGAGCAAAATAAATGTTCTTAATTCATAGAGTAAGGAAAATGCTATAAAAGAAAAGTAAATGATAAAAACTCAATAGAAGGCAAAACCGTGTACAGACACAGCTCAGATTCTAAAAGTCAGATCATATTTTGGACAAAGATAACACACGCTACGCGGTTTGTACTTTATACTCAACATCATCACATTATTCATCTACCAATCTTGGCTAGAATTGAGGTTCACTTAACTTCACATACTCAGCGTGCTATACGATAAACAATTCATCTTTCACAAGGATATTTCACTTTCGGGCAATTTGCATAAACAATTCATGTCCATGGCATGTATGCAAATCCAACTTTGACGTTTTGCACTCCATTTCAAGATGAGAAATCAGTATAGACTATATATATGTGCTTATGGCAGGCATATAAAATTAATCTCACACAACTTAGATAGCACTTCAAATTTTTTCTCATCCTATTATTAACTTAACAGGTATTGCCTCAAACAAAAATAAGGTCTGCCTTTTTCTGATGCATCAAAATCCCATCTCAACATTCCCAGTATTCTAGCCACATATATCCATTACTTTCCCATCTACTTTATATATGAAAGATATCAAGCGAACAGGGCAAACAAAAGAGCTACTCGGCTCAGAGATTAAGTCAGTGATTCTTTAAGCTACCGAACTTTCATCATCTTTAAGTAGGCTAATTTACCTCATGAACAAGCCTTAAGATTAGACCTAATCTATCGATAACAGATATCTTCACATCAAAATTACTCAATAGATTCAATACACATAAAGAATTGCTGTTGAATCAAAATTCAAAACAAATCCATGATTCAAAAACCCCATATCACCAGAAGAAACAGAAATAAGGAAACAAATCCAATAATCGAATCTTTAAGCTTAANGGCCCATAAAAGCCACATGCCATGAAACTAATTTCTACTCACGGAACACAAGCCACCATAGAACATAGCATAAAAATGGTTTCTTTTACTGATACCTGCAAATAAACAAGTGATTCTATTTACATTTGCAGGATAGGTTAAAAGGTGTGAATAGAAGCAGCAAAAGCAGCGACAAACAGTGTATGAAGCAGCTAGAGTTAAGAAAATTATCGAAAAAGATCTCGATGGTTTGCAGGATTTCAGGAAGGATTTGGGCCGCCGGTGGAATTTCTATTGGGCCGTATATCCATTTGAATTTGAGCCAATAATGGAGTCAAAAAGCATCTCCAATCCAATGGCACATTATCCATTTATGTATAGCATGGAAAAGAAATAAAAAAAAAAATATGTTTTAATGTTAATTGTGGTATAATTTGACATGTGTAAGATTGTAATTGATTAGAGAATAAAGAAAAATTAAATGCATAAGATAATACTCCTATATAATAAAAAATATTTAAAAATACTTCTATATCTAGAAAGACTTATGAACATCGCCACATAGAACTTTGGTCTATATAACAATGAAATAGAGCAATCCACAAACACCATTGTAGATGTTCTAAGTTACAATCAGTTTGTGTTTGGATTGGGTTCAAGTCCAAATTTAAACTGCAATAATGAGATTCAAATTCAAGTGCAATGTGACGTGAAATACGTTGACAGAATTCGAAATTGGCATGAACTGCCAATGAACAACGATATATTCCATCAGTTTTGCTTCACAACTATGTGAAATTGCAGAGAGCTTCAGATCCTGGCATTATCCGATAATCATTTTCAAGGGAAATTCAAGTGCCTCCTTGCATGGGGAATAATCGTAAAAAATCCAGACCAAAGAAAGCTTCCCGGCTGATGAAGTATACATTGCCTCCATTCGTTTCAGTTATCATATTGACAGCCATTGTACTGGTGAGGAAACTAAAACCAAAGAGAAGAACTTCATACATAGAACTTGTAAGGAGATCAGATGCTTTTAGCGGATCAAACCTGCTCGGAAATGGAAGCTTCGGTTGAGTTTTGAATGTTTAGTCCTACTTTCTCTCTGTCTTCTTTTTAATTATCTTTCTTTTTCACTTTCATTTTTATTTTAATGTACTCAACTGAATTCACCTGTTTCCTTTTTGTGCTCACATAGTGCACTCTTGAACTCCCAAAAAGCGGTAATGGATTGCTGAGTGGTTAAAAACTAGAGCTTTTATAATCTGAAATGTGAAACTTAATTAGGTTCTCAATCCATTAAATCTGAAATCTGAAAAGTCAAGGTAAACATAACATTTAAAGGTGCTTCCTTTTCAACTTCATTTATGCAAAAATCTTGAGGATAGATTATAGTTTTNCTTGATTTTATATGTTCATTCAATTTGGAACATGCACATCCTTACATTCACTCATTGCTTAATGGCTTATGAAAATAGGTAGTGTCTTTGCATTGATGCACGAAACAGAGGCCAAGAGATTCAATCTACGTTCTAACCGACAATTCCGAAAATGGATCGTCATTAGTTAGTTACACCAGAGTCCCAAAAACAGTTCAAACTATCCAACATTTGATAGGGTTAGTTATATTTTGTGAAAAAAATGAGCCAAAACTCTTTGCTAGCCATGCCTTTCTCTAGAAACAGCGAAAAATTAAAGACTAATCCATACTCGACTGATAAATTTGTCTAACCAAACCAACACATAAAGCTCAAAGTCAACTCTGTTTCGTTTCGCAATCCGTGCAGCTTACAACATTGCTTTCCGAGCCCCCTTCATGAGGGTGGGATATTTGAATGGTCTTACCAAACAACCGAAACGAGCTCCCCCGAGCTGTTGTTGAAGAACTTCCCGAATGTTGATTAAGTAACTTTAGGTCGATTTCTGTACGAGGAGGCTCTGTGCAGTCGATGAGAAGTTGGGTGAATGTTCTGTTGGGATAATAACGATCACACGCTTCTATTGAATTTGCATCTGGCCCGTAGGCTTTGAGCTTCTTAGCCGAAGGGAATTCTGGTGGGAAGAAGTGTGGGTTCGGGGGAATAATGTTCTCGACTTCCCATGGGCTCACTTTCTCGGTTTTCGCTGCTATTTCTTGTTCGTCCCAAGCCACCTGCGAAATCGAGACAAAATTGACTAAATATACTATTTGCAAAATGTACTTGTTTAGCATACTCAATACTGTACAAAAACAGAGCTGGGACCTCTCTATATCTATATGGGTCTGTTTAAGTTTAAGTACTCAGTTGAACAAACACAGACTCATGATTAACTGTATGAATTTCAATATACATATCAGCAAATTGCAATTATCCCCATTGAAAATGTTGAAATCAACTAGCAATGTATGTTTAACTACTCAGAATATCACAGAAAACCTGAAGCATACGCCAGGGAGAACCTCGCCAGGGCCCGTTTTCCGGCACGACAGCTGTCATAACTGTCCCCACAGACGAGACCATCTGAGTTGAGTCCACCGTCTCCACATCCATCCTCACACGGATTCCCGGCCGCCACCCAACCCACCACGCCGCCTCGACTCTCCCTGCCTCCACCACGAAATCCGGCAACCCAATCTTAGGACTGTACACGACCTCGAACTGCAATCCTCTGGCCGCCTTCCCCATCTCTGCCAGCGCGCTGCTAACAGATCTTTCCTCGGATTCCCACGAGCCGGCGGCGGCCCTCCGGATCCTGACGAACAGCTCCGTGCGGCCACCGGCCGCCGTCCTCCTCACAAAGACAACGGAGTCGCCGGCGACTAGGCGCTTGGTGTTGACGAACATGCTCCAACCGGTGGTGAGAAGGTGCCGGCGTGGGGTCCCCCGGTAGATGTGCCGGAACCCCCACAAAATTCCGGCCGCGTCCCTCATCCGGAGGTTCTGAGCTGGCCGGTCGCCCTCGGATTCCAGACGCGGGAAGACCCTTTCCGCGCAGGATCTCGGGATGGAGAACCCGCCGCCATTGTTCGCGTCGGAGGGGCTCAGGACCTTCGCGTACGAAGCGATGGCGTTCCCGCCTACGGCGCCGGAGGCGGGGGTGGCTTCGCCGCTCGATTTGGGCCGCCAGGCGGAGCCAGCCGAAGTCGGCTGGAGGAGGATCCTGGCGAGGGGCTGCTCCGTGAGGGGGTGGTAGAGCAGACCGAAGGAGAGGACCCGGCAGGGGATGAACGGGCGGCCGGGGGCGACCACGGGATTTTGCGAGGCGGCGGCGGCGGCGAGGCCGTGCTGCTCGAGGTGGCCCTGGGGAAAGTAGTAGACAGCGGAGTTGGGTGGAGGGATTCGGACGGAGGCGCCGGCGACGGCGAGCCATACGTCGACGTCGGTTAGGGATACAGCGTCGGATGAAGAGGAGGCCATCAGCCGCGGAGGTGGCGGCAGGCGGAGGTTGTACGTTTGTGTGTGTAAGTGACGTAGAGAGATAGGAGTGATAGTGGCAGGCGGAGAGTGGAGAGAGAGAAAATTGAGGGATATTTAAAGTGTATCGAAAATGCCCTCAGGATTGTATGAAAATTACTTGGCCGTGACGGAACAGACTGCGTAACTGTTTTTTGCAAGCGTAGGACGGGTGCGCTCAGATTCTCCACGCGCCTTTTGGGTTCGGTTAAGTTCACCTTCGTTTTTTTAATTGATTAATAATAATAATAATAATAATAATTTATTTACTGAATATTTTGAATTTAAAAAAAAATCTTATCATGTCACCACTTTTGTATATTTTCAAAAGATATTGATTAAACTTAACTTTTATATTGGTTTTTTTTTTCCATATGAAGTCCTAATTCTTCTTAATCTCTTTTATTTCTGTTAATAATGAAGCAGAAATAACTTATAAGTGTTTGAGAATATAAAGTAAATTGATTTACTTATTATTTCATGAACCGTTGGCTTCCTAAGTAAGAAAACTAAGTAGGATAATGAAAGTATGAAACATACTACAATTTAATGCATCATACAAATTATGAAACTATTTAAATTGAATGTATTTGTGTAAAATAATAGAAGTTTTATTTATATTTTAGCACGTGCTACACATGTGCGTTTCGTGCGATTGAAGCTTTACCTCTCTTTCCGCACTTATTATGTAATTTACTTTTTGTAGTGGCTACGATAATGTTATTGGCATATTATAACGATATAAAAATTGACGCAATTACTAAATGTTGGTGTCAAAATCTATTAAATTGTAGCAATCTAGTATAAGGTTCATGATTACAAATATAATACAAATGATGTAGAAATTTCATATATTGAATGCAATGCTTGTTTGACTTTCATATATAATACTTGTAATTTATAAATTATTGCATGAACATATTACAAGTTCTAAAAACTTATAATTTTATTTAAAAAATTTGCAGTAACTATATAACTTATCCGTGCAGCTATTATTTTCATTGGACATGCCTTTATAAATACCAAAATACATGTGTTATCAATATTTATTTATATTAATATTAATATAGTTTACTTGTTTTATTTTTTTCATGATAAGTTATGTTTGGAATATATATAAACAACAAAATGGAGAGTATATTTCACCGCCCCAGTAGCACGAAATGTGTACAATCTACTGTCAGAAAAGCACAAATTGGCATGACAGGGAATTACCTGAATTACTCGCCTGAAAAATAGATGTCTTTCCCATAGGTATATATACTGCTACTAAATTTAAATAATTTATCAACCGTTTTATTTTTAAGGGAATTTTTTTTTTTCATCCCAATACAAAGATACATTAAATTTTTTACACCGTCCACTAACAATCTAACTTTTTCATAACTATCGCATATCAAGTGCATAACTGTCGCATATTCATCGCGCAATGTTTTCGCACTTTAACTTTTTCCACCACAGAAAGTGCGAAGGGATATGCGAATGCCTTCGCACTTCTAACTTTTCGCACAATGTCATCGCGCAACTATCGCATATTCATCGCACAATGCCTTTGCACTTTAACTTTTTCCAGCCTAGAAAGTGCGAAGGGATATGCGAATACCTTCGCACTTCTAACTTTCGCACAATGTCATCGCGCAACTATCGCATATTCATCGCACAATGTCTTTCGCATTTTCTGGGGTGAAAAACTTAGTTTTTTATTGGGCGGTGTGAAAAACTTAGCAGGACTTCAAAATGGGGTGAAAATAACTATTTTCACTTATTTCAACTAGTGCGTGGCCCGTGCGATGCTCGAGAAAACAATATTACAATTGTATTGTAAATTAAATATATGATTTATTTATTATATTTAAATTAAACCGAGTGGGACGCAGTCCGACCGGATGGACCGAGAACCGGATTATAACCAGTCTAGTTCGCTTGAATAAAATATTTTCTCTCAAATCCATCAACACCAGTCGGTTGGACTGGTAGGATCGATAAGATTTTCTAAATAAATTTTGTTATATTTAAAATTATTTTAAATAAAATTATATATTTAAATAAAATAGTGAATTATAAATTATTTATTAATTAGTTTAAACAATTGAATTTATAAATTGTTTAGATATCTAAGTAACACATTTTATTTAAATTTATTACAAAAAGTACTATATATATATTAAATTTTTTATAAATTAAAATCTGAACAAACCACAAATGATTTAATAAGCTTGATCGTTTCGATGACGGTCCAATTATGAAAACCTTATATTTACTGTACATTAATAAATATTATTTAATTAACATAAATATTAATAAAATCATATATAAGTATTCATAAATAACTATTTTCACTTATTTAAATAATGCGATTATTTAAAGTTTGGACTACATCACATTCACGTAATAAAATATTTTTAATATAAAATTTATATTTAGGTTCTGTAATTTTTTGAACTAAAGCCCGAAATTTAAGGCAACATTTAATGCTGTATGATTTTTAAAGAAAAATAATAAAACATACTATTTATAAGCTGCATTAAATTCAGACCTATTTTTTTGCTACTATTTTTTATAAATGATAATTCTTATTATATATATATAGAATATAGATATGGATATATATTTACCAATTTACTGTTAGCACTATTTTATTTTGTTTTTTTTTCTAATCACACTTTAACCAATTAATTAATTGCAGTACTTGTGAATAAGAATCTACACTAAACAATATTAGGAAAAAAATGATAGTATTCATAAAACTAATTTTGTAAAAAAAAAAAATTATAATTTCATATGAAAAAACTGTGAGTTAGAAACGTTAACCAAGCACGCGGTCGGGTTGCCAATTATGTTCGTGATACGGGTCGGATCCAAACCCCAAATTTTTTGGGCCTGCAATATTACTAATTGTAATTGAAATTGGGCTGGGCTGGGCTCTGCCTTATAAGATTGTGTAGTTGGTGTGTTTTATCCAATCTTTTGCTATGTTACATGATTCGCTGAAAATTAAAAATAAATAAATAAAATTATATATAATCTCCACCGTCGATCCTATTGGCCGGCGATGGAGACCCCCGACATGCCTAGCTCATCGTCGGTTACGCTGACGTGGCAGGACTTCCTCGAGCGCATGCGCCACCCCTCCGCCGCCGACTTCGTCAAAGCCATCAAAAGGTGGTGTTTATCGTAGCTGTAGTTTATCGTTAATTTCATTTTGTTTAATTCGAAACCTGCAAAAGGAACTGCCGTTGCTACTAACTGAAGTTATTTTTGCGTTGATTGTTGGCATGAATTATCGAGCAAAATCAATGGTGAACGAGTTTCGTGAATATGGATTTGGTTTAAGTTAGCTGAGCTGCCATAGAGATAGATTGTGCTTGATTTTGGAATTTTCGCTATAATTTGGTGATAATTATTGCTAGCTGGAGTTATTATACGTATTGATTTATATAAAGGACCAATCTGAGTCTAAAGGCTTTATTTGAGTGAAATTTTCGTTGTCATTTTGGTGCTAATTTTTGCTAGCTAGAGTTGTTATCTGTATTGCTTCGTATGAAGGAGCAATTTGAGTCTAATGCTTTTGTTCTGAGTAAAATTTTGTTTATCATTTTGGTGCTAATTCTTGCTAGCTAGAGTTATATTATCCATATTGCTTCATATAAGGAGCAATTTGAGTCTAGTACAGGTTTTGTTTTGAGTAAATATTGTGTTGTCATTTTGGTGCGAATTCTTGCTAGCTAGAGGTATTATCCGTCTTGCTTCATATAAAGGAACAATTTGAATCTAAAAGTTTTATTTTGAGTAAGTTTCAACTTGACTTTAACTAGTGTACTTGATTTTCGAATTTATATTTTTATCATGTTTGGAGCTTCATCTTTTTGAAGTTGTGCAATCTGTCTATTCATTTAGATTTTAGGTTACAAAATGATTGTTCTCGACCCATCCCACATAATATGATGTTTTCAGTTTAGCTTGTAAGATTGACTTATTAGATTTAGTTAAGTGTTTAACAGCTAGCTATTATGACGACAATCTGAATTATGTACCTGTTCGCATTAAATGTAATTCCCTTTTATTTCTTTGAAGTAATGTTGTTTAGTTTAGTACCATTTGATATATACTGCACTAACTTTATAGAATTGCTTGTTCTCTTTTAAGTTTCTTTCTAGAATAGTTCGGGATGTAGGCTGTTTATTGGCCAAGCACAAATCTGAGTGACTAGAATTTCGCAAAGTTGTTATTGTTTCCTTTATGGAGATTTACAGTGTTCTTTATTATCTGTTTTTTTCAATCGTTGAAGTTACACTGTGCATCTGAGCTGATGTATTTGCAGTTTTATAGTGTCAATTTTGATCAATGTCCCGGATGCAGAAAGGGACAGCGTGGCCGTGCAGCAATTTTTTTCCAATATGGAAGCAGCATTCAGGGCCCACCGCCTGTGGTCCGGATATTCAGAGGCAGATCTTGAAAGTGCAGGCGAAGTAAGTATCTAATCCTACAACCACAACAACAGAAAAAACTGACAAAGAAAGTAATAAAAACAGAACTTTTTGAAAAATACAATAGAAGAAGTCCCTTGAATTTGACGCGGTCATTGATATAAGAGATGATTGTTATCGTTATAAAGATATAAGAAGGGTTTTGAAATGTTTTTGCTTATACAGAGTGTGAAGTGTAAAACGTTGTCAAACTGTCCACGATTGAGGGAGTTTCTGTAATTTTTACAAAATTTTACTTTTTCACATTACTTAGCCCTGGCGTTTAATTATTATTTTGTTCACAGTACTGTGTGAGAAGGCTTGTGTTCTGCTACCATGTTTGCTT